TTGGTCACGCTCAGTTTGCGCTGGTCCGAATTCTACGTTGCGGATGTGCTGGATCTGTTGGCGAGTTTTGCCGGCCTTGACGACGACCCGCTGTGTCCGCCACTGCGCCAGCCGCATGCAGCCGAGCTTCTCACGCAGTGCGCGGCGACGATTTTCAGCTTCCCGACCGTCGCGGCGGCAACGACCAGTCGACGCGCGATTGTCAAGCACTGTGTTCTTCTCGACGCCTACCTCACAAGGACGGCCACCAACGACTTGCGCATCTCGGGCGTCGATGGCTTACCGCCTCTGCAACGCGTGCTCGTGGACCACTGGGCATTCGATGTCTGCTCGGACATTGCCCTCGGCGTTGCGGCTGCCGTGAACGTGGATCCGTCTCTCGTGCGTAGCCCCTTGGTTGACGCTGTCCTTGAGGCCTTCCGTGGACGCTTCGACCGGAAGCAAATCGACGACCTTCAACAGTCGGGTGCCGAGACGGCGGAGAGCATTCTCGTGCTCGCGCTGCATGCAAAGCGACTCGATGACAACATCTTCAAGAACGTCACCACCGTCTGGGGCCTCGCTGTGCCCTAAGTTGCTCGCTCGATTGCGCTTGAGTACAAGCACCTCGTTTCAGCAAGCTTTGCGTCGCGGGTCATGACGTTTATCTGACAGCTGTCGACGATCTGGCGCGAAAGCCGACGATCGTTCATCGACGAGCAAGCTACAAAGGCCAGGCGCTCAAGCTCACGCAGGACGCGCTCATGTGCGACGCGATCGAACTCGTGCGCTGTTTTGCCCCCGACCAGCTACCATCGTTTGTCGACAAATGGCTGCAACTTTTGCCCGAGACGCTGGAAGTGACACACGACGTGCTTTGCCAGTGGCGAGACGCGTACGGTATGACGCACCGCTGTGTCACAAGCTACTGGACGCGGCGGCGGCGCGACCCCACGACGTCGATGCTACGCTATACGAAAGTGATCCCGAATGCGATTTTCGGTGTACGCAGCGCCGCGCTGTGTCGTCTGCGGAGAAGATGCGGATGGCCAAACAGAATCTTGTGGCAACCATCACGGCAACCATTGCGTCGTTGGCGTCACTATGAACCGCCACAGACACGCGCACGCTCACCTTAAAACGTCGAGAGTGAGAGGGCTTTAGACGAGATTCTTAATCAATACTAAACTACATTGGCAACACATGTTCGGCGGGATATCATTTGGTCCAAGCTCACCTTCTTTGGGGAGGTTGAAAGAGCGTTGGATGGCCCAGAAGTGGCATTCTGGCGGAGGCACGGTCCATGAAAGCACCACAAACTGGCCGGGTATGGGTCCACTCGAGCTTTCTTACGGCATGGGGTGGTTGCACTTGAAATGGCGTTCGTCGCCCAGTTGACGTGGACGCGCCTCCGACGAAATACCGAGCGCTATAAAATGCTCTTTATTCAATATATATAAAGTGACCATGATTGGCCGACTCGCCACACTTCGATATTCTCGCATGGCCTGCCCATTTGAAGCCGCGATCGCGCAGGTCCGACAGTTCGGGGCGTTCGCCTCCGCGGGCGCGCTGCCGCCGTTGCCATCGCTCCTCTTGGTACTGGATGGCGTGGACGACCCGCTCGAATGGCCGCTCTGCGCCGCCCAAGCCGCGCAGATAGACGCACGCTATCCGTCCTGCATCGTCCCCGCCACCAACATGAGGTTCGTTGGCGAAGAGGGCTACGCCGCAATGCTCGCCGAGCTGCACAAGCACGTTCTCAAGCGCATGGGGCCGACGGGTGCGATGCAGCTCCAGCTCTCGCACTTGGCGATCGACAACGTTGGCGACGCGGCGACGTTGCAGCTGCGTCCGACGAGTGGCGACGCCATGGACAACACGCTCACGTTTGGCTCGGTGGTCGTGTTCCTTCCGTCCATTCGCGAAGGCGGCGCCATCACGTTCGCGTATGGCAGCGAGACAGAGACCGTTGACGTTGATACGTCGCCGGTCGTGACGACCTTTGCGTCGGCTTTTCTCAGCACGTCGATCACGTCGGCGCCGATTGTATCGGGTCGCCGCGTCGCGTTGGTCTTCCGCTTGGTCTACGACGAGAAGCACGAGGATATGCGACTGGCGCCGCCCAACCAAAAACCGGCCATTGCAGCGTTCACGGCGCTCGCCCACTCACCCTTGGATCGGGTCCAGCGCATTGGTCTGCCCGTTGCGCTTGCGGACAAAGGCGGTGGTTTGACGTTTGATGGTCTGGACCGCGTCGACACGGGCCTCGTCCACTTCTTCTTGTCGATGAAGAGCTTTGACGTCGCTCTGGCTTATTGCTGCGCGGACTCGGAAGAGTCGGAGAACCGAATCAGTCAGGTAGTGCTGCATCCGGCGTGCGGCGCGCCGCCCGAGCTGCAAGACGCGTGCGACTACAAGTACTTGGATCTCATGTTACACGGACGCGACCATGGCATGCGGTACGAGTATGTGCTGGCTTTTTGGCCGACGCACCACCGCGTGGTCATCGCCGACCGGGCCGACGCGCTGACGTACTTGGCCGCGACGCTGCTCGGCGATACACCATGGGCCGAGCTGGTCGGCGATGCGCCTCGGGCGACGAGCGTCTTTGGGTTCACAGACACGAACGCCGTCTTGCGAGCCACCATGTCGACGTTCCGCGCCGAACGCGCGCGCGAGCAGACTCTCTGCGGGCGCCGCTGGTTTCTTGAGCACCGTGCGACGCTCAGTGAGCGACCGCTGACGACCCTCTCCCGGCTCTTGACGCACCAAAACGATCTCGACTTGACGCTCCTGTTCATCGCCGACATTGTCTCGATCCAGCGCAACGTCTGCATGTCGGAGCTCGCGCTGTGGCTGCATGGCCTCTTCATAGCGCATGGATGGGGCCCATTCCAACCGGCCTTCCTACAGCTTGTTGCGCGCTGGTGCGCCAACGACATGGCCGATCTGCTGCACTTTCTGGCGAGCTTGGCCGGCCTCGACGATGCCCCGCTGTGTCCACCACTGCGCCAAAAGCACAGCGCCGAGCTCCTCAAGCGCTGCTGGGCGAGTCTCCAACTCAGATTCCGGTATCGCGAGGTCC